GGCATTGATCCTGAATTCAATGATGTATTCCAACTCAAGAAGAGGGTTCTGCGCGAGTCATCACTGATGGCGATCGGATTCCGAGCTCGAAGCGGCAAGGACCGACTCCGACCAGTGAATGGGTTCCAGAACTCGGCTTCCCGCCGAGTGAATAATTCTCGGTAATTACCTGAATTCTGAATACCCAGGGCATATAGCGCCATTTCTAAAATCAGAATATCCAAAGCGCAACCTTCAGCAGGTCGGAGTCCCCTGGGTGCACGTGGGAGCGCCCTCGTTCCAGGTGTCGATATGCCTTCCTCCTTACCGTCGGCCGGCCCGAGTCCGGCGTAATGTCCACGGAGAGCGAAATGATGGAGAACCGGAAGACGGGTCAGGTGACAGATTGAATCAACATTCGACCAGACATATTGAACTATCCGCACTGTGCTATCCTGGCCGAGAATCATGACGCTGCCGAACGTAGACGAGGTCCTGTCGGCCGTCCTTCCTCTCCTAATTCTCAATTTGCCTTGTCACGACGCGACGTCACGATGCGTAGACGCAGCGACATCATACTTCACTTGAGAGCTGTCCACGAAGCCCTGGATTGAAGTCCCCGGCCTGTACGCGTGACCTCTCTTTCCCTCAATTCGGTCCTGGAGGCCAATTCTGATAATGTCATGAAACAAGTTCCTCTCCACTCAGTTTATCTCTATACATAGATACCCAGTTTTGGCTCCGACTGCTGGATGCCTCCGCGGCTCTGCAGTCTCGATATGAGAGAAGAGAACATTACCGAAGCCTCCCCACGGCACAGTCTCATGGAGCGCGGGGCTTAAGTTCGACCCTGTCGTTCCATTTGTCCTCGTTAGGATACCCGTATCGTCCGACCGCTTCCTTGAGTAACCATCGTCCCCACTGGGCTCGTCAATCCCCCTTCCGATACCGTGTCATGCCAGATCGTGCTGGAATATCCGGCGAACCCGCGTGGTCGAGTGCTCAGCTCGCTTGCAGCTGCGAGCCCTGGGGAGACCACCATTTTCACGGGAGTGCCAGGCCGACCGTTGATTCATGTAGATTTGGGATCATCAGTCGGGAAATTAGGTATCAAGAGATAGTGATAGCCCTCAAGTTGATGTCTATACCCGACGTGCTGTTTCCATGAGAGCAGCGAAAAATTCACAATAAAAGGAAGGAAGATCTCGCAATCAGCCGCTTTTCGAAAAAGAGATCGACTCCGGGCCCGAAGTAAATCCGAGCGCTGCGGCGACCTTTTGCTCCTCGGAAAGCTGTCGGATCTCGATGAATAGTAGCGAAGGTGACGAGAGGGGACCCTTGTTTTAGAGATTCGTCGTTCGTAACCCGCAATATAACAAAGACTCCTGGCGGTCGCCGCAGACAAAGCCTGGCCGTAGCTTTGTTTATTTTCCGAGTCTTTGTTCCTCATTGGTCAGGAGCGATCTCCGCGTCACACCAAGCACCAGTGACCTTCAATCAGCCGGGAGTCTGCAGGGGACGAACGATTGCGAGTCAAATCAGAGCACATTCCTGAGTGAATCAGCAACTATCGGCTGCTGATATTAGCGCCGAGCTCTTACGGTCATCTAGGACGTCCAGTACTCGCGTTGCTATGGCGCGCGCATAGAATCTGCCCCGCGTTGACATTATAATATAAGTGAGGAGAAATTAATGAGCTGGGGGCTTCTCATCCTCTCTTGGGAACAAATATGGAGCGTCCAGCTACTTAATGGACTTCGTCTCCTGGGGCGGAAATAACCGCGCCAGACTCTTGCTTCACTCAGTTAGAGGAGACGCTTCAGTCATGTCCTAACGACAGCTGAGTGACGTACATCACCAAGCACGCTCACACATTTAGATGAAGGAATGACTGTGTATTTTTAGATGAGGACGAGGTACACAGAAGGAACAATGGTGGAAAGCATCACTAATGTCGTTTCGTCTTCGAGTCCGCTTCAGCTCGTAGGTAACAAGGTTCCGGTAGAGCCGGGGAAGAGGACAAGAGCCTGGGGCAGTCCGTATATTCTTCGTTTGGCAGCACAGTTGTTTCACGTGTACAAACTAAAATTTCCCTCGTTAGGTGAAGTCCTCCTTCCTCCACGCTGCTCCGTTGAACGTACGACAACGCCGACTCTGGTTTCGACTTTAACGATATCACCGCCCCGAATGATGTCGTTTCTGGCGGGAAACTGCACCCGCGGGGGCTCATTGAGGCGACCGAAGCTGCTTTGAATTCTGCTCGAATTCGTCGGTTGGCATTCCCTCAGTCGATCACCCCAAGCGTTATCAGCACGACCCGGTGGTTTCATGCCGCAGTCATTCATGACTTCGACACACCGAAGCCAGGAGCCTCGTATTCACGAGATGCTCAGTAGCTCTACTTGAACCTAGATCCTGGTGGCTCGAGGAAGACTGCTGCCGGGTGGACTGAATAGTGGAAATACTCCGGGAAAAAACGATTCCCTCTCGCAATGAGTCGGCTTGTCTTAGCGACGCACGCCGCCGTAGCCTAAGAGGGAACAGCCAGTGGTAGCTTTCCCCATGAGACTATAGAGGAAAAGCATTGCGAGCTCCGCAAAAGACCAAGCACGTGCTACGGTCCCGCCGAGTCGTTTGTATAACGGCTCCCATTGATTCGCTAATGGTGACGATGCCAGCGGCGCAGTAATGGGCCAGCAGTCTGAGAACTGCTATGCGACTCAGACGTCAAAGCTCTCGTTTCCGTTGAGGTTCAATTCGAGCTTCCTGATTCGACTCGCAGACGTGGGGCACGTTCTCTCGTGGCTGTGACGCTCTGCACCTCCAGAGATTCGGACTGAGCGGAGCGCATGTGAATAAATCCTATCCGATATGCCATTGTTCCGAGCCGTGGTACCGCCGAGAGAAGCGGGAGCGGAAGAGATATTTCCGAAACACGCAAGCAGCTGTGCGGAGGAGCAAGTCAAATGGTCGAATAGATCGAGACAACCGTAACGCGACCCTCCGCCCGGTATCCTCTTGCTGATACAACATCGGAAGGAGATCGCTCAGCTGTCTCATCCGTGTTGACTTTTGCCCTACAGGCTACACAATATTGATGTCCACCGACACACAGAATGAAGATGAAGGTCTCCTCGTAGGGAACTTCCGAGATAAGGGAGAGAATCCGCTCGCCCAAATAAATTGATCTCTGCGGAAGATTGTCGTCACCCTCACGGAGGCGAAAAATTATTGCTGCCACAGGTCTAAGGCTTTCAGAGCGGGATCGATCGGGAGTCGTCCTGACGTGTTCTGGCTGCAATGAATTTCAACGAACCCGCTCCTAGAGGTCTAAATTCGACAGAGCAGGGCCCACAAGGCATCTTAAGCTAACCTACGACTTGGTGCGCGACGGGCGCGATCGTGGCTCTGGCCGATTGAATGAGTTGACCGAATTCGACTCGAGTATTTGGGGATTCGTCGCACGTTCGGAGGAAGTCGTGGCAGTCACTGAGATCCATCGGAACTCCTTCACTCGGCGAGAATGCCGCGCATCGCTCTTTCTGGACGCGACGGCGGCTCTGTTGATGCTTTCCGTACAGAAGAAAAAGAGCTGGTTCTTTCTATACCACTCTTTTCGTTGTTGCGCCTTCGTCTCCTCCGTCCTGGATCCATTGTCCGCTGGGTAGTTTCCCGCGCCGAATCGGCTTCCCCGTCCGCGAGAGCCCTTCAGACGTGGGTTCAAAGTAATCACCTTTGCAGAATGGTCTCGGCCCCACCTCTCACATTCATCCGAATTCTAGCGACTCTGATCCTAAGATGGGATTGTCAGCGGAAATCGCTACCGACCATAAGAGGCGTGACGGAGAGTGCTCGTGAGATGTCCAAAGTTTCGCTCGATTCCGACGCTTCACTAATTTTTTTTGAATGACTCTTGCCGCTCTCGGGGCGTCCCTCACGCGGCCCTGATCTATCGACACGACGCGCGATTGCTCCACAAACCTCATTACGAAACGCATCCCAGCCCTTGCTCAACCTCGCGGACAAGTATTACGCATGAACCTCTCGAGAGCGAGCGGATGAGCGTGGTTTTATTTCTGTAGACGCGCGGTGAATAAATGAAAAATTCCGGAAGGATAACGAAACCCCAATTCAAGTGAAACTCGCACTAGGTCGCGAAAAGGCAATTGCCGTCTCAGATCCGATCCGACTGACAATGAGATTTCGTCCTATCGAGCCATAAGTTGGCAGCCTATAATGGATATTCTCATCCGCAGCCGAGCTTGTCTGGACACAAACGCAGGCTCTCGAATCGATCCTAGCGGGGGAACACGATAGATCGTCTCCGAAGCGAAAACTCATCAAATCAGCACGCTACGAATTCAAGCTCGCCTTGCTCCGAGGATTGCTGCGGCGAGGCCGCTGCGACCGCACTTCATTCCTCTGACAGAGACAAGAAGTGCGGCATAGCAGCTTCATATTCATCTGAATGAGCCAAGTCTGAGAGGTGCCGCGTCGGTGGGGCCGGGCGCCAGGGGAGTTCTGGGAACTTGAGAGATAATCCTCCAAAACCGGGTTCGAAGTAGCTCGGGGAAGGGGGCAGGTAGGAGGTGAGTAAACTTATTCCTTAAGAACGCTCTTGAGGAGACGTCCTCCTTATCTGGCAGCCGACGACCTGTCAACTTAAGCGGCTCCCCGTAATTCCGGTTTTATTTTCTCTGGGGATGCTTCATCCAATTACCGTCATACACGTCAGTCCCGAATTCTCTGCTGGATTTCCCATCTACCATTCACTAAATTAGGGCTATCCGCTCTTTACGGGCTTCCAGACAACGAGCAGGCCTGAGGAACACAAGCTCGGGTAATAAGGAAAAGAATCACGGTTCAAACCGATGAGAGTCGGGACCTGTTCCGAGTAGTGTCGTGGCCTCGCCAGGCATAGAGATCCCTGTGCAGGGATAAGCGGTCTCCGGCTCCTTGTCAATCGATGAATGCGCCTCGACACGATTCTAGATCTCACGTAGTGAAACTATCAGGCTCACCTTGTCAAAGCTCAGCTGTTGCTCAGGAGAAGTACGGTTCAGTTGTCGAGCGCGAAGCACTGCACGCAATGAGGAGGACGTTTCCGGCTTTCGGGTTGCGGATTTGGGTAGCAATGCGGGCCTTGCACCAGCCAATGCTGAGATAATGTTCAGGAGAGGGCGCAGGAGAGTGACGTGACGTCATTCGGGGGAGAGCTGCAGCCGCTAACAGACTCCTGGAAACTCCTGGCGGCCGCTTCGGACGTTCAGACGGTTCTCTGAGCTTCGAGCATTCATTGGATTTCAGAGAGCTTGTTCGGAGTAACCGCCAAGCCGCAATGACAGCCGGAGTGAAGAGGGAACGGCAGTTTGGAAGCCAGGAAGATAACGCAGAGCCGTCTGAGGACGATCGCCGACGCCGCGCCGTCTTCAAGGCAGGCAGGGGAGCCGCGTCGATTCCCAGGATCCGGGAACCCATCAGGCGGAACCCAAGCCCCTCCCTCCTGCGTGACGTCGCATTGACGTCACGGCTCGATTCATAATGATACAGCCGTCTGGTCGACTATCTGACTGGCCTACTGCTGTTTATTCTGCTAGTCTTGAGACGGCTTCCAATGTGACCAGGCTCCCTGTTCGACCTTGAGCTACTGTGAGTCTACATGATCTGCAATTTTCCCTCCTCTAACCCCAGAATTGTGGCATCCTCTGAATTACAGCAGACATCCCGCAATGCAGGAGCAATCACGAAATAGCGATCAACAAACTAGGTGCCGTTCAGAGGAGAGCAGCAGTCCACAAAAAGATGAAGAGGATGATCTGCTCTGTTGTAGATTCTCCGAGAGGTTCGCAGCCTACTCCAAGCTGTGTTGTTGCTCCCGAGAGCTCCCCAGAGGCTTCGCCTGTCTCTACTATCTTGCTTTCGGCTTCTTGAGACCGCTGGCCATACGCGCCCTTGGACCCAAATCGAGTTATACTCTTTACGCAGGTCTTTTCTGCGTCACGAAGAGTACCACACGTATGCATTTTATCCTCTTCGGTTTTTATCGGCTTTCCGAACCGTTTCGGAATGACAGGAGTAACAAGCCCGGAGAGGTTTTCGTCGAAATAGACATGACGTCATCCTTTCCGAGCAACATGCGGCTCATAACGGTGGACCGACGGACGTTTTTTCAGGGAAGGCTTCCCGCGACCTTCTCGGGGTTCGAACAAGCTTCGGGACTGCATCTTCTTCCTCGACTGGGCGCAAAATCCATTATGTACTCGAAATTTTACGCGGAACGGTGAGAGAGCGGGTCGATCCCCCAAGGCAACGCCTTAGGGGTCGACGGAGGAATCCCTAGCATAGGGGTTGTTTGAATCCTACTCGCTCCTGGAGAAAGTATTGATCGACGGGGGTTGCGATTATGGCTGCATACTCCTGAGCGCTCGGACTATGATGACGGGACCGATTCATGTCCCTCGATAGTGATATCTCTATTGATATGGATTCCAGATAAGACCCTTGCAGCGCACTTTTCGCTTGTTACGACTTGACGAGTTCGGAAACTCTTCAGGTGACGCTGGTAGCGACAGTCTATTCATGAGTCGAGGGAGCTGCTACGGGGAGCGTTTTCTTTCATAATGTCCTCGTTCTTGATTCGTTACCGTCTCGCGCATCCTCCGACAAGACGGACTTGAGGATTCGCACACAACCCAGAATGCGGGAATGGAGTGGATCCTTTTTGAATTTTTTCTTCTTCCTTTCGATGGATTCCTCAAGTTTCATTCGAGGATCGAGATTGGAAGCGAATTCGTTGTGCGCGGAATCGATATGGATTTCGACGCATGAGTTCTGGCAGCTCCTCGATCAGCTTTCGGAAAGGTTGTGCGACACTTCCATGCGAAGCAAATATCGCGACAAGCAGAGAATGTCGAGCTCACATTCGCTCGTCCTATTCCCGTATTACTGATTCTGTATCAGAGACCGAGATTATTCCCGCCTAACCTTCTCAGGCGAGCTACGGGCACTATAAGACCAGGACAATAAATCTCAATTGGGAGGAAAGCCATCAACAGTGTATGCCTCTCGGGCTTGTCCGGTATGATGAGCGATGGCATCTGCCCCCAGATGTGGAAGCCAAAGAGCGAGAAATAGCTATCTCGCTTGGATATAACAGGCGCATGTGGATCATCCTCGTAGAGAACCCGCAGGCTCTGAAATACATTTTCCTGAGGCGACCAGATCTGCGCTTGAGCCCTCTGCGTAGTTCTTTCGTAAACCGTGAAATCGTATGGAATCCGCCCGGAGCAAGTCTGGCCGAAGCAGCCTCCGGGGTAAGGTCGGGATTTTCAACGTTGCGGCTCGGCGCTGGCACCTGGATGGATTTTAAGTCTGTCGAGCAGGTTGCGGTAGGTATAGTTTCCGGATAAACATGTAGAGGCAACCCAATGATAATTCTGCGAGAGAGCATGGTGGGGAAAGAATTGAGTCTCTATTCCTCAGAGTCGAGACTGTTCCTGATACATGCCCGGGTCAGAGTCTTTTGTGGGAAAATGCGTACAATCGCTGCCCACAGCGCGGCGCTAGCGCTCCCCTGAGGTCATCTCGCAATGATATGCTTGCCCCTCATTAAGCAGTAATAAAGCAGTAATGTAGGTCCGTCACCGTACTAAAAATCGGAGTTATTAGCGCGTGAAAAGACTTCAAATTACTTCGTGACGATTCAGAATCATTCCTGCTAGCGTCAGAAGCAATTTCCCTATCGATCAATCGCATCGTTCTCAAGTTATGCCGGAAAACTGGCTAGTTTTCCTCCGGTGTTCGCTGGATGTGTCTCCTCTCCACTAGCTCTCTCCACATGATGCTCCGACCGTTCCGCCAAGGTGCGATTCGAGAGACGACGCAGCAGCCTACTAAGTGAGCATGAACGGGGTGATCAGAGGATCGAGAGTGTACTGATAAGTTGCATTCCCTCCAGGCTCTCAGCCCGCCAACCTCCCTGTTCCGGAGCTTCCGAGTCAGCATCGCGGGATGTAAATCACGGTATCCCGACCGCCCGAGTCTGCGAAACTATGAAGACCGCGCGCTTTGCATTACCCGACGAACCGATAGCTCCGAGATCGAACGCAGAGCTCTCCAGAATAGCTTCAAATGGTATTACGACGTCTCCGGCGACAATCGCACGAGTCGAATGACGGCACAGCAGCCCACCGAGCGAGCTTCCCTAATGTCCTACGAAGGCTCAAATCGCCCCGGGACCATGATCGGAGTGATCACTGATCAGAGAATCGAGGGTTCCAATAGATTTTATTCCTGACAGCCTCAGGAGCTCATCGTCTTCCAGAGCTTGCGTGTCAGCATCGCATAAGTTTCATATTCCTTCGCATTCTATCATGTTATTCCGAACGCCCGACACTTTGAAGTTATGAGGACAGCTCCCCCCGCGATTCCATAAGAATCGAAAGCTACGAAATCGAACGTAATGCTTTCCAAAATTCATCCACAAGGAGATTATGTCTCCCATAGTTCTGTGGTGTATCCGATAGATGATGTCCATATACTTCACCTGTTTTCATTTTTCCTCTCCCGTTCGTTGGCGGCGGTGGTAGATTCCGACTCCGCGTCCATGTATCTTTTCGAATTCCAATCGGAGTTCCTCCGTTTTCGTTGCGAACGACCTCGACAAAAAGAACGTTGAGACGTTGAGAACGTTGCTCGGGACTTCCAGAGCATCGCATCTGGCACGCGGGCAATTTAGCCGTGAGTTCTGCTCATAACTCACATACTCAATATACACGGCTCGAATTCCGAGGAGCATTCAGCGGAGTCGAGTGTCAACAGGACATGAAACCCGATAAGCGGGAGAGGGGGAGCAATGACTGCGAAAGCATCACGAGCAGGCACGGAGCTGTCATGGGTCCAAGATCAATGCTGTGCGACGTCTTCAGCGACCACGCATTGATCTGGAATCGGAAATCATGCTCCTTGCGCCTTGGGGTTTCACGTTGAACGCGCTTTTTCAGCGTGAATTGCGGGACAGGTTGATTAGTCTGAGGAATATGTAAATGGGAATCCTCAGTACCGTACGGTGCTCGATACGGACGACGAGCCCCCAACTTCTCCATCGCTTCTCGAATCATGGATTCCGCGGCTCTTCGTCGGTTCCTCTCGAGCGTGGGCTCTCCGGGAGCTTCCCTGAGGTCCCGATTCCCTATACTCGGGAGTCGATATCTTGAAGAGAGTTCCACCGACCGATTCGCGCCAGTCGTATTCAATATATTGGGGAGCGCCCGAAGTCTCGTTAAAATCATAATTTTTACCGATAATTCGGTTTTGCCTGGCGGTAGCTCCGATAGGAAGGAGACCAATAGTGAGAGTTATCCGACTAGACCCCCGCAACGATACTATGTCCATGACCATCAACGCTGTTTTGCCTCTTTTCCGTCATCATGGAAACCTACCAGCCGAATCCTGCATTTCGTAATACGGGAACTCATGTTGACGCTGTTGACGCTCGAAACGGTCGCTCTCGGCGATGCGTCGTAGGCGTAGGACGCCGGCGCAGTAGGTGCATACATGTCAGCTCCCGGTCGGTCACCGTTGCCGATGCAAGTCGGTTGCGACGAAGTCATGCTTGAAAACCCCAAACAGCAGACGTTTGCGAGTACCATCCGTAACCCCCGATACAATGATGAGGCCATGGAGGTTGTAGGTTCGGTCCACAAGCATCATTAATTATTTCAGCATCGGTGTCTTGGAGGTAGATCTGGCTCCATCATTCATGATTCACTCGACGAATCTACCTGGATACTCTGGCGAAAAAGCCGTAAAACCGGTCACGACTCGGCGTTCATCTGTAGAAACCCCGGAGTCCGCAACTTCTCCTATGCAGTAGCTCGCCGGACGAGAGACAGAACAGCGGAGACAATGGCGAGGAGGAGTTTTCCTTGAGTGACTCTCAATTGAGTCATGTCCAGCCGGGGCCGATTCGATGTTTGTGCTATTCATTAGGAGAACGCTTTGATACCGCTAGAGGACAGCGAAGCCGGTGCTGAAGACGCGAGGACCGCTTTACTGCCACATTCATCATAATCTCCAGCATGGACTCTCTGTCTCGCGGGAGCTTGGAAGGCTGACGAAGATAAAGA